CTGGTCGTGGCTTGCCTTGCAGCCATGCTGGTCATGGCTTGCCTTGGCCCTCAGGCCCTCGCACCCTCAGCGGTTTGCCTCAGCCCTCTGAGCCCCGGCTTCGACGTCCAGTCTAATTAGCATATTATGCTTTATTATTGTATATTATTAACTATATTCCCTGTGCTATACTTTACATCCCTGTGACTATTTTGTAATGGCCATTTTTTTTTGGTTAATTATCACCTGAGAATATTTTTTCCATTGTTTTTTGGAGAGAATAAAAGGGAAGGAGGGAGGGAGGAAGGGAGGAATGAAGGGTGGAAGAAGCAGAGAGAGAGAAGTAGAGAGAGAAACAGAGAGAGAAAAACATTGATATGAGAGAGAGACATTGTGCCCCAATTGAGGCAGTGGATGGAATATGCAACCCAGGTACATCTCCTGACCAGGAATAGAACCTGCTAACCTTCCTTGCTCGGCCCAACACCTTAACTACTGACCCACACTGGCCAGTGCAGTAATAGATATTTTCTACTTCTTAATACCTTCATCTTTTCACCCAGCCTCCCAACTTCCCTCCCATCTAGCAACCATTAGTGTGTTCTCTGTATCTATGAGTATGTTTCAGTTTTGTTTGTTTCTTTATTCTTTAGATTCCACGTATAAGTGAGATCGTATGGTATCTGTTTCTCTCTCTCTGTGTCTGACTTCTTGCACTTACCATAATACCCTTTAGGTCCATCCATGTTGTTGCAAATGGTAAGATTTTATTCTTTTCTATGGTTGAGTAGTATTCCATTGTATATATGTACCACATCTTTTTTTAAAAATGTATTTTATCAATTTTTTACAGAGAAGAAGGGAGAAGGATAGAGAGTTAGACACATCAATGAGAAACAACAATCAGCTGCCCCCTGCACACCCTCTACTGGGGATGTGCCCGCAACCAAGGTACATGCCCTTGACCAGAATCGAATCTGGGACCCTGCAGTCTGCAGGCCGACGCTCTATCCACTGAGGCAAACCAATCAGGGCTGTACCACATCTTCTTTATCCAATCATTGATCAAAGAACACATTGGTTGTTACTATGTCTTGACCACCATGAATATTGCTGCAATGAATATAGGGTTGCATATATCTTTGCAAACAAATGTTTTCAAATTTTTCGTGTAGATACCTAGAACAGGGATTGTTGGGTCATATGGTAACTCAATTCTTAATATTTTGAGGAACCTCCATACTGTTTTTCATGGTGGCTCTACCAGCTTATATTTTCACCAGCAGTGAATGAGGGTTTCTTTTTCTCTACAACCTAACACTTACTATTACTTGTCTTATTGGTAAAAGCCATTCTAATGGTATGAATTGGTATCTCATTGTAGTTTTGATTTGTGTTTCTGTAATAGCTAGTGAACCTGGGCATCTTTTCATATATCTGTTGCCCATTTGTATGTCTTCTTTGGAGAAGTGTCTGTTCAGGTCCTCTGCCCATTTTATTTCCAATCCTCACCAGAGGTTATGCTTAGAAAGAGGAAGGCGGAGGGAGGGAGAGAAGAAGGGAAAGAAAGAGAGATATATACAGTAATGCAAGAGAGAAACATTGATTGGCTGCCTCTGTACGTGCCCTGACTGTCTGTTAAACCCAGCACCTGGGCATATGCCCTAACCAGGAATTGAACCAACAACGTTGCAGTGCATAGGACAATGCTCCACCAGCTGAGTCACTCTGGTGGGGCCCTCTGCCCATTTATTTATTTACTTATTTATTTGTTAATATATTTGTTTTGATTTCAGAAGGAAAGGAGGAGAGAAAGAAACATCAGTGATGAAAGAGAATCATTGATCAGCTGCCCTGTACTGGGGATCTAGCCCACAACCTGGGCATATGCCCTGGACTGGAATAGAACCCAGGACCCTTCAGTCCACAGGCCGATGCTCTATCCACTGAGCCAAACCAGCCAGGGATGCCCATTTTTAAATTGGATTTTTTTCCTGTTTGATGTTGAGTTGTATGTGTTATTTATGTATTTTGGATATTAAGCCCTTGTCAGAGTCGTTGTTTACAAATTACCTTCTATCATTCGGTTGGTTGCCTTTTTGCTTGCTTTTGCTGTGCAGAAGATTTTTAGTTTGATATAGTCCCATTCGTTTATTTTTGCCTTTACTTCTCTTGCTTTGTCAAAATCATAAAATTTTCTCTATGGTCAAGGTCTGTTGGGGTTCTTATCCCAGTATCAAGAAGGGTTCAGGAATCTGGAAAAAGGGCTGTGCATAGATGACATAGGAATCCGGAGGCTAATAATGAATCCTGAGACGAGATATAATTTTGAAAGGCATTGGGGGTCAGAGGACCTTCAGGTAAAGGAACTGAAGACTCCCTCCTTGTCTAGGACCCTTGCTTTTATTAACACTAGAGGCCTGGTGCACAAAAATTTGTGCACTTGGGGGCGTCCCTCAGCCCGGCCTGTGCCCTCTCACAGTCTGGGACCCCTCATGGGATGTCTACCTGCTGTCTTAGGCCCGCTCCCTGAGGGGATTGCCTAAGCTGCCAGTCAGATATCCCTCTGGCCGTCCGGGAGCCCTCAGGCGAAGGACCCCTCACTCCTTACCACCCTCCTACAGCAGAGGCCGGAAAGGCTCCCACCATCGTTGTTGTACTTGCCAGCCGTGAGCCC